TTATCGTTTGCAAAATAAAATACTTGGTGTAATATCACTCAGAGATTAAATTTATGATAAATTTGATTATCGTTGAACGTCTGCAACCAGCAACTGCGCGTGGGCCATTTTTCGGCCATCAAAGTCAAGCACTAGTCCTTTGTTCAAAACCAAATTTATAATGATTGACTTCGACAACTGTCGACAAGTAACCCCAAAAAGTTAAATTCAATAATTGACAAATGAGAAATAGTTACGTATTAGTATAAGACGAAATGTATTAGTTAAACAAATTTCGAGAAACATAAAGTATATTAAATAACTACCTCTTGTCAAAGAACTGAAAAGAAAGCCATGTGGTAACTATAAGAATGTTCAACACGAAGCAATGAGATGTTTAGACAACTAAACTGATATGGCGGGCATCAGCACGGCATAGCCATATGTCTTATTTTTGCACCAACATATGACCCTATACCTACTAAAGTAGTTGACCAGTGGCCGTTTAGGTACTCCTCAATACGAAAATGGTGCTAATTTTCTGGGAGTGGGGCCGTTATTGCGTGACGATTGTTTAAACATGTCGGAAAATTGAATGATTTTGGACAATTTGCTACACAAAATTCTTTGGATTTTCTGGTAGTCGGTGACAAAACAAATGACGGAAACGCAATGCCATACTTTTCCGGTGGGCCTTATAGCCCGCCATACTCATTTGAAAGTGTCGATTGTTTGTATTTTTTTTGGGTGATTTGCTACAAGCTCATTTTTTTATGAGCATCAAGTCCTCAATCAGTCATTCACGAAAATCAACCTGCCATACCGCAGCAACGGGCCCGCATAGCCGCCATACCGGCACAAAGATGTCATTTTTGTTAATAATTTTGTGCGATTTGCTACACCGTATAAATCTTTCCACTAGTTATTTTTATAGTCAAAAATAGAAATTTCGATACGCCATACCTGTGGCATGGGCCAATTATGTATAATATTGTTTCAAAAATGTATGAATTTTCGGAAAATTTGGGCGATTTGCTACAGTATGGCACCAACTTTTCGTAACAGTTTGAGGTATAATAAAAGTAAATATCAAGTTTCAAACATGACTCCCGGGCCAATCTTGTTTTATCACGAGATGTTATGTCGCTTAATATTCTCCGCCCCACTCGAACCTCTTAGTCAAGTTGTAGAGGTCCCGGTCGGGGTCGTTGTGTTCGGCATTGCATTCAATGGATCGCAGGTAGTGGGTAGCAGCTGCCGTCAAGTTTATACTAGGTACCCTCCATAAGTATCTGAACACCCAGTGTACCTTGATCAATTTTGATAAAATTTTCAGGGCAGTTGTATTTATTTCGAATTAAGAAACGGTGAAAATTTGAACATTATAAAAATTAAAGTAACACTAATGATAATAATAACAATAATAATAAACGTTTAAATAATTATAGCAAACGAGCTCCTGGGGTATGGCTATAGCATGTGCAAAACCAAATTTTGCACCTGTTTTTGCTTTTATTCTAAGTGCATATATGTATCAAATTTCATTTAAATACTTTCATAATTAAGAAAGTTGGCTCCTCGGTTGGCACTGCGCATGCGTAAAACCAAATTTTGAAACTGGCGTTAGATTTGCTTTTATCCCAAATGCCTACGTACGAACTTCATTTAAATACCTTCATAAGTCAAAAAGTTTGCAATTCGGGTCATAAATAGTCGAGATGTGAAAAGGGTACTCTGAATGTTGAATCGATTGGACTCAACTTTTGGCATTGCGATTTATTTGGCTAAAGATATACCCATATTGAATTTCATGCAAATCGGTTCATAACTAACGGAGATGTCAAAAGGACCTTCCTTATTTTTTGACCTACATTGCCAATTCACGAACTTCGATCTATAAATTTGATAAAGAATCCACCTGCGAAATTTCATCGTAATCGGTCCACCGCAAAAAAAACTCACTAGGAGCTCGCTAATAATGATTCCATGGCCTTCCCCTTCGCTGGACCTAACACGTGTGGGTTATGGTGGGTTGGATGCTAAATGCTTTACAACCACCTGTAAACACTTGTAAATGAGATCTTCACAGCCCACAGGCATCTTTTAGAATCTTGGAACAGTGTATCACAGGCTATGATCGATTCACTCATTTTCAGTATGCCCCGTCGAGTATATGAATGCTCAAGAATCGATGGAATGATCTATAGCTATACATTATTATACTCGGAATTTTACAGTCGTGTAATGACGTCATTTTCGTGGGAAAAAACGTATGTCCTATTAAATTTATTTGTTGCTAAGTAACTGACTACTGGTGTCTAATTACCTGTATGACTTTTACTATACAGTGGTGTACATAATATTTTAGCATTTTTTGATAATAATTAGGTCAATTTCCACAAGAAATCTATAGGTCTTAATAAAAGAAGAAGTCCTAATTAACTGACTGACTGACTGAGATATCAACGCACAGCCTAAACGACTGAAGATATCGAAAATAAATTTTTAACATGTTAAAAAATGCGAATAGTTCATATTTTTTGCGAGCGAAACCGCGATGGATAAAATGTTAGTATTTCAAAAAAGGTCATTTACTCACTAATTATTTTAATAACTTGCTCAACTAACATACCCAATTACATATTTTAGTAATTTCAAAATCAACAACTCTACGTCGTTTGATTTTCAAGAAATATCCTTTAATGAGATGCGTGATACAGTATCCAGTATTAATAATAGTGATTGTAGAGATCATTTTGGCATCACGGCTGACATTGTGAAGTCCTTGTTAAACGTCATAATTGTTCCATTAACAAAAATTATAATTGCCTGTATACGAAATTCAGTTTACCCCAATGAATTGAAAATATCCAAAGTTATTCCTCTGCATAAAAAAGGTTGAAAGGATAATCTTACAAACTATCGACCACTATCAATTACTCCAGTCTTTTCTAAAATTTTTGAAAAAATTAAAAAAAAACAAATTATGTCCTATTTTGAAGCAAAAAAGTTATTTTGCGACAGTCAATTTGGTTTTCGTAACAACCAATCCACTGCGAGTGCCATCTCGAAGTTAACCAACTTAATTTTAACCTGTTTTGAATCTAATGAAATTTGTGTTGCAAATTTTTTAGATTTAACTAAAGCCTTCGACTGTGTGAGTCACTCAATATTACTGAGTAAACTTCCAAAATATAATTTCCAATATAAAAGCATTATGTTGTTAGAATCGTATTTGAACGACCGAATTCAGTATGTATGTTTTAATCACTGTGCATCGGGTTTTAAGCAAATTGAGACAGGCGTGCCTCAAGGTTCAGTACTTGGCCCAGTACTTTTCCTAATATATATTAACGACATTGCTCCGGTAACCAAGCATGATGAGTTAATTTTATATGCAGATGATACTACTTTATTAAATAGATGTAACACCATAACTGACTACACAAGCACCGGTATTAATACTCTTGAAGAGTGGTTTACGGATAATAAGTTGCTCGTAAATCATGATAAATCAGTTAAGTGCATATTTAGTTTAAAACAAATTGATCAAATCAATAATACTGGTTCATCAAAATTCCTGGGTGTATATCTTGACCCGAAATTGAATTGGTCTGTGCACTGCAATCAGGTGTGCACAAAACTGTCGAAAGCATGTTTTGTTTTGAGGAGTTTGAAATCAATGACATCTCATGAAGTTATGCTAAATGCTTACTATGGTTACTTCCACTCAGTAATGAGCTACGCCATAATTGCATGGGGACATTCTTCTGAGGTTAAACGGATTTTTGCTATACAAAGACGTGCGATTAGGATACTCACTAATTTAGGCTACAGAAGTTGTTGTAGGTGTAAGTTTGTTGAACATGGTATTTTAACCCTTCCCAGCTGGTACATTCTACATTGTATATTATTCATAAAAGAAAACATTGCTGATTACCAGTTTTCATATAACATACATGAATACTCCACTAGGTGTAGAGACAATATTAGCTCAAAATCTATTCGACTTACAACATCTCGGAACTGTAGTAACTATTACGGGATAAAATGTTATAATAAGTTACCCTCAAATCTGCGTCTTTTATCTTTAAATAAATTAAAAAATGAGGTAAGTAAATACCTTAAATTACACCCTTTTTATTCTGTCGATGAATTTTTAAGTGCGGAATGGCACCTGTAACTATTACTACTTTTTTTCTTTTGTAGTACATGTTTTTGTTTTGTTTCTTTAGTGTTCGTTTTATCTACGCTACTTGACGAATCTGATATAGTCGCAGCACTATCATAGAGTATTTACATTTACATTAATTATTATAAATTAAATATTATTATTATAAGTAATATTAACATATTTTTGTTTTTAAATAAATAAAGATTAACAAAACGAAAATCACAGAATATTATTTAGGAATCAATACTCCCGAAAAGACCCAAAAAATAATTAGCAGAGGAGTACATAAAAATTCAAAGAACCACTATCGAAACCACATCTACACAAGAAAAAATTGCACTACCTTGATGAATAGTTGGAAAATCAAAATCGTAAAACAAAAATATACCAATGCCAATTTATTGCGATTGTAATGGTCACAGTATTAGAAGAAAATTAGTCGCCCTCGTCCGTATCGTCAGAGTCAAAATCAAAGTATTCGTCGTCAGTAAGGTCGTCATCTGCGTCTGTAGTGATAACAAGAGGTGGGATGTCAGAAGCATCACAAACTTGTACTGCTCCCCAAGCATCTTGTATTACTTTGTCCGTATGGTTTACGTATTTCTCCCAATTATCCCTAGAAATCTCCCCGATAACCCTTTCCCATGTTGCCAAAACCTCTTGTGGTGATCCCTTAAAATTTGCAATGTACTGATCGTATTTTCGTTTACACTGAGACCACACCATTTCAATCGCATTAAATTGGCAGTGGTATGGCGGTAACCGTAAAATTTTATGTCCTAAAGGCTTAACATATTCATCAAGGTAGTACTTTTTCTCTTTGGGGCAGTTTGCTCTGACAATGCTCCATATTTGATCCTTCATTGCCTTTTCTGGATAGCCGATATTTTTTTCCCCTAACCATTCTATCATTCTTTGTTTTGTCCATGATTTGGTGGGAATTTTCTCTAAAAGGCCAGAATGGTAGCTTGCGTTGTCCATAATAATTAAAGATTTTTCAGGAAGATTTGGCACCAGTTGAGTCTTGAACCAATTTTCAAAATTACCCCTGTTCATATTATCATGATAGTCCCCTGTTTTTTTTTTCCACTTTTAAAAATCAAACTTGCCCCACCAATAAAGCCATCGTTCGTCCCAGCGTGGACAATAATGTATCGATGACCTAAAAAATATCTCTTTTAATAATATTGAAAAGGTATTATAATATTTTATTTTACCTTCATTGGGTTTAATTGATTCCGTGTGCTTAGTATCATCTTGCCAGCTGTTTCGAAATGATCCCTTACTAAATATCCAGGTTTCATCCATAAAAACCGGAGTATAACCCTCATGTCCCAAATTTTTGTTTTCAATGTACTCCCTTAAGAATTTTATTCGTTTGTGGACAATATCCGGTAAATCCATAAGATATTTTCTGTTATTGGACTTCTTCCATTTAAAACCCATACTTTTGATCCACTTTCTCAATGAATCAATGGAAAATTGAAAATATTCGTTTTGCTCCAGAAATTTTTGTCTAATAGTTGCCAGTGTAACATATTCCTTTTGGGAGTACATATAATAGATTGTATCCCGAATTTTATTCTTCAAATATTCTGTGATTTTCGTCTTGTTAATCTTTTGCTTGGTAGAGACATTAGATGCGTAATCTTTGTCGGATTTTACACCATTTTTTCTCAAATTTGAAATGGTTGTTGGGCTGACTTTCGTTGCTTGTGCAGTTCGCTGTATAACATTGTTGATGTCTAGTGGTATGCCATTCCGAACTTGTTCCTGTTCAATTTGAAAGAAAGCCAACACATTTAGAATTATTAACTGTGTTTGTTCGTTAAATCGATGAGGGTTTTTTGGCGGCATGTTTTGACGCTTTGGCGTTTTCAAAACTTCAAAACTGACAATCACTTGACAAGCATTTCAGGTAAAATTTAGCCACGACAACAACATTTCGGCAAAATTTTTTGTCATTGTCATTTTACATTAGTTAAACAAGGATAGACAAAAATGACGTCATTACAAGACTGTAAAATTCCGAGTTTAGTGTTGTTTGAATTTGTGATTGTATCATATTTTCCTTGTTTCTTATTTCGAAATAAATACAATAGGTACATAAAATGTTTAAACAAATGCCTATTTCATTTTCATGATTTTTCTTTGTTCATTTTTGCCCATGAATTATTTTTCCGAAGTTCGCGAGAAGATCGTTTTCAAGGTTCCTTGCTTGTCCCAGTTATAGCACAAAGATGTTTTCGGAAAATAGATTTTCAAATATGGCGCCATCTGTAGCCTTCATGACGAGTATGGCACATATTATATCATGGATCAAAGTGGACCATGAAAATCCAAATGCCATACTGTAGCAAATCACCCAAAATTATTAACAAAAATGACATATTTGCGCCGGTATGGCGGCTATCCGAGCCCGTCGGTGCGGTATGGCAGGTTGATTTTCGTGAATGACTGATTGAGGACTTGATGCTAATAAAAAATGAGCATGTAGCAAATCACCAAAAAAAAAAAAAACAACCGACACGTTCAAATGAGTATGGCGGGCTATAAGGCCCACCGGAAAAGTATGGCATTTCGTTTCCGTCATTTGTTTTGTCACCGACTACCAGAAAATTCAAAGAATTTTGTGTAACAAATTGTCCAAAATCATTAAATTTTCCGACATGTTTAAACAATCGTCACGCAATAACGGCCCCACTCCCAGAGAGTTAGCACCATTTTCGTATTGAGGAGTACTTAATTAAACCTTTGAATGGGCGCCATACTTGTAGCAAATCACACCACAAAAAGTGTCACCATCTCCCGGTCTATATCGAACGAGACGTATATTTGGGTGTCGTCAGCATAAAGATGGTCTTTACAATGTCTTAATGTTGATAAAATCTTGAAGGTATAAATAGTGTACAGAAGTGGACCTAAAATTCAACCCTGGGGAACACCTTTTGTCAAATGTAATGCTGTAGATTGTTTGTCATTTAATACTACTTTTTGTTGTCGCCCATTTAGGTAGTTAAATACCAATCGAACAGCGGATTTTTCGAATCCTATGAACTGTAAAATCGAAATAAGTGTGTTGTGGTTAAGGGTGTCAAAAGCCTTGGAGTAATCAATAAGGACAAGAATAATTTCCCTTGTCTGTTTGCCTTATTATGTCATCTATGACACTCGAAAGCCGTATATCGTATCTAACTGTCTTATCTATTATTCCCAATATCACCAATCGTATCTACTAATCAATAAAATTTTTGGAACGTAATTCTTCGATATAAAAGCAGATGTATTTCTCTCCCACTGTATTAGCGTTTTTGCTTTCGTATCAGACATGTGTCGTATTTTCCTGTTCTTGCTCTTTGTTGGAATTTTGTCCATCCACGGAATTGTGGCGGAGACTTGTTTGTGCAAATTCTACTGTTCATCGGGAGAAACACGGCGGTAAGTTATTAAATCCGCAACGTCCTAATGAATTACTATTATAATGCAATTACAGCGATGAGTGCAAAGGAGCCAGTGCAGCATCTCCCGCCAAGTACTGGTGTTGCAGGTAAATGTGTGCATCAGTTTCCTTGCATTTATCGTTTATACAAGCTGTATAATTTAAAGATATGTGAGCATTAAAAATAATTACCTACTAAAAGAGAGTTATAAATTATAATACAACAAAAACTCCACACCTTTCGTAGAAATTGGTACCTAATATGAAATGCAACGTATACCACACAAGACAGTAGAAAGCAGAAAGCATTTTTACATCACAATATGTGACGGCTCTCTACGTCTCAGCTTATAACTGCCTGCTGCCAGAATTCTTTCGTAGACTATAACGAACTGCATAACGACGCGACGTCCAGAGGTTTCATTTTCGTCAAATTTAATAGTGAAAACGAATGTTATCAAATAGGTAGTAACTTGAGCCAATAGCACATATAAAGTACCTTTGAAAATGAAAAAAAAATGTCCCACTCTACCTCAACCTGAAATGTAGACCACGCAGGTATTGATAAAGTTGGATAATTCCAAAAACAATAGTCAGTGCTACCTTTTCTATTTGATGGTAGAAGGTAGGTACTTCATCTCAGCTATTGATAAAATCTGCTCTAGCTTCATGTACGTCCTGCGATTCAAAGCAATGTATGTTTATCTATTTCTAAACAAGGAGTTATCGTACTTTGAAAATTATCGACAGTTCGAATAGTTCGGTCCATTTCACTGGAAGAACAATAGCTTCATGCGCAAAATCTTCGGAACCACTAACGATAAATTCTACCTTTCGTTTTAAAGGATAAGGCAATCGAAATGAGTTTGGCTGAGTACCTCATAGTAAAAAATAAAGATGCAGAGCACACACGCTATATGAAAACGCGAAGGCGTGTTTGGAATTGGATCAATATAAGCACAACTGTAGTGACATGCGGACAGACAGAAAACTAATCATAAGCACTAGTCGGTGCCGTGAGGTTTACCTACCTATTCAATTTTTGCTTATGCAGTGCAGCCGTAAATAATACCTTCTACCCTTCTAAATTGATCGGGACTCCGAAAACGAATTCTATAAAAGAGACTTAAGGACCAATATCGATCCCGTTTACGAGCGTCATCGGTATTCTTGTAGAAGCCGATCTCCTCCCTCTTAGTCCGAGAGCTGGTAGACATTTTTGGAGGTACTTCAATACTTCTCCAATAATATACCCAAACACAGAATTGCAGACCTGGCTGAGGAGTAGCGGGACTAAATCAACCCTTATGTTTTAAAAGATCCAAATGTTTGTTGCAAAAATGTTCTTGAGGCATTTTGAAATTTTTACACCTTTAAATTTAATATTTAAAGAGTAAATAAATTAATAAGCCAGGTCATTTATACTGGGGGCCATAAATACATGAACGCCCAGTGTACTTTGATCTCTTTTGATGAAAGTTTCAGGACGTTTCCTATCCGCTATTGGCTCTACTACCTCCTCACGGAACAAAATTACTATTTATTGGCTTATAATGACATGTAGATAAAAAGTGAAGATGTGGAAGAGCGCAAGAGAATACTGATTGCACCAATAGTGAAACCAGATTAAGAATTCGGAATCGCAGTATCCTACAGGCCCATATCTCTTATTTCCTATATTACGAAGGCATATGAGCGTTTAATTAAAAACCGAATAGAATGGGGGATTTATTCGAATAACATGTTAACTTCAAACTGCCGACGGATGGCACGCCACATGAACAAACTACAGGCGAATACAACCTGTGAAGTAAGGTGCGACAAGGGGCCATCCCAAAGCAGCAATATGTTACGGCAGCGGGTGGCATATCGCAAAACGAAGAACAGATAACACCACCGACGAGGCGAGAATTGTTTAAATCATCATCGGGCCCGTTTTATCAGCGAGCATCGAGTGTTCCGATAAACGACAGGCAGGACGCAGCTACCGATTTGTCGGCTCCCCATTTTTTTCAAAACTACATAGCAGGGCAAAAACATCCGAAGCAGCTGGGAATTATCAATTCAGCAGAAATGGAAAATGCATCATGTTTGCAAAAACATATGGTAGAAGCGGGCTATCAAGGTCTACCACAAGGAGAGAAATTGATTGGAGAGAAAGGTGGAAGGGAAGAAGGCGATAATCAGAAAACCTTTTGTGCTGAACAGGAGAAGGCGATTGGAAAACCTAAAGTTTTTCTGTGGGAAAAAGATGAATTCTGTAGTAATATTGTAAATAGTACATCATACATCAAATCATTGTTCTAATACCCATAATGTACATCAGTTAGTAACAGACATTGTTTCACAGGTGATTGTAAAATTGCAACAAAGCGGGCATTTACCAAACACCAGGTTATCACAAATCGATAACGTGCAGGGATCTATGCCAAACCCAGATATGTTTGAAATAGATGATCGCATTGCGTGTATGAGGACGCTATACCTACGTAAGCTTAATAAATTTGATATAAACAAAAGGCTTCCCATATTTGACAATAAGGGGATTGTTCATCCATTGGAACTTTTGGAGCAACTAGATTACTATTATAAATTGAATAGGGTACGTACCGTATTCATATTTCAGAATAGTAGTTGCGAACCAATTTCGTGGAGTGGAGTCAAACGCATATGCATACTTTTTCAAATTTTGTCTGGTCAGATGTGATTCAATCTGAATTTTTATATAATTTTAAAAAAATAAATACTACGCTAGCATGGGCTCATTCAGTCAGCATTTTATGCGTAGTGTGGCACTGGCAAAACATATTTCGTATCCGGAGTATTTCATTTATTTATTTATTTATCATCCGCCTCTTGTTCTGAGTCCTCAACAGGCTTGCGCCCAATTACAGAGTGACCCGCACAATGCTTTTTAGAGGTGACTCTGCAGAAGGTCTTCAGTTGTTCTGTACTACCCCTTATGAATTAGGAAAACTGCAGGAAAGCCTAATTCGGAGTAGCCGGAAGAATGCTCGAAATTGGTCTGAGGCAATTCCCATCTCTGCCACAGATGAAAAATTCACCTCGACCCAGGTTCGAACACCCGACCCGATTTATAGCCCTGCGCAATACCACTGAACCATAAATCCAGTCATTATCCAGAAGATAGCCAGAAATTATGCTCCTCACATTGCAACTCATTTGGTAGGAACAAAACGCTTAGCGGATGTGATACAACGTTTTCGGCAGGCGGAGTATTATTTTGCGCCTGAGGTGAACAACGTGGAAGTAGAGAAACCAATCGGCAATCGCGAAGTTTTGCAAAAACCAAGGTTTTAGCATAATAGAGATCCGTGGGGCGATGACGCCGCGCGCGCTCAGGAAGGTAACGTTTTTCGTAATAAAAACAAATTTGATTAAAAAATAGCCACTGTTGAAGTTCAAAGCGACTCACCAGCAGATAACCACGACATCCTTTCGGGAAACGAAAGGGACTCTCACTGAAAGGGAGACTTCTCATATGCTAGCCGATTAAAAAAATTTTACAATCCTATGCAATAGACTTCGTCTTGTAAAATTGGGGGGCAATGATATAGCACAATTAC